TCGACATCTCTGATCCATTTAATAACTATGATTTTGTGACTATGACTTATAATTTTAATATTTGGTAATAAAATTTCAGAAATGAAAACTTTCTTTCTTTTTCTTTTTTTTTTCTTCTTGAGGGAAAAACTGAAAATTTCATTCATCAATGTCACCTAGACAAGGGCTTCTACTCTAAGGACTAACAAAGGTGCACAATATTGATAGAGTTAAACTCAACCTCCAGAATGATCAATTTGTTGTCCCGCACAAACTACAAGCCATGATGGAGTATAATAGATTCTGCTATCTCCAGGTCAAAACTACCGTAAAGCGCCGAGAACGAACCACAAAAACCATACTAAAGCTTGTCTCAAAGGATAGTTCCCACTCCCACAAAACCGTTTGAAGCTCGAAGATTCTTATCTACGTTCAACTTAGGTAGTCCAATTGTCGATCTGACTAATCTAAGACTGGTCCGAACTGCACAGGAATCTCCTTGCTAAAATGCTTAGACCTTGAACAACATTGTAGCTTGACCCCTTGATTAATCATCGATCCTCACACGCTAGACCCTCCATGGAATACCTGATTCCTGTAACTCCAAAGACCCACGATATGCTACCTATAAGCTCAAATTTACCCGTAGTCGGGTGGTAAAAAAATGTATAAAATAGTGTCATCCCTGGGATTTTAAAAGTTCTCAATTTGTGACTGATGATCTCAAAATCGGTAAGCCCGAGGACATAATTTTCAACTTGTGCCACCATTTCGTTTCCTTCCTCGAGCATGACTGCTCGGGAATGAGTCCTCGAGATTCTAGTATTGTGCAGCTCTAGACCCCGTAACATTCTACCCAGTGTCAAGGCTTATCCAAACCCGAAAGAGAGAGAGTCCTAGTGTTGGTACGTTACTTCATCCTAAAAGGATTCTACCACCAGGGTTTCACTTATGTCCAAACATGTGGCTAACACGAAACCAATCATGTAAAGACTTTCAATCATGTTAGAACTCCTAGGGATCTCAACATTGTGATCCTACTAGGAGTGTGTCACCCAACCTCTCTCTATAAATACATCACTCCAAATCATGAAAGTACGTTTTTGCATAATTCTTTAGCACATATCTTTTCACAAATTCTCTCTCTAACTTAAACATTGGAGGGGCGACGAGGATACACCTCGACACCTTTGTTTCAGGTATCGAAAGACCTCGTTCGTACTCATTCTCAGTCGTCAAACTCGGAAGTCGACGGTACGATTTTTTATAGCATCAGTGACCACCCTCTACACATGTTCACTAAACAAACATACGAATGTTGGTCCTAGTCAGGGATGGCAAACGGGTCAAGTTGCTTGCTAACTCGTGGGCTCGACTTATATAACTTAGCCCATAGATCACTCAAACTCGTATTATGACAAGCCATGGGCAAAAAATTTGACGAGCCCTTATTAAAGTTCATGGGCCAGGTCTACGAGTCGTGGCAATAACTGTTTGGGCCAACGACCATTTTATTTATATTTTAAAAGGGACATTTTTCCTGTATATATTTCATTCTCACTTCTTTTTTCCCACACAACTTTCTATCTACCTCCTCAATCTACAATACAACTCCTACAATCTTCACATTAGCTATTTTATTGTGCCATTTTGAATTTAGTCATTAAATTTACGAGTTAAATCCATCAATGACCACCCAACTTTTATACTTAGTGTCATCATGGCCATCTAATTTGATTTTGTTTCACCGTGACCATCTAACATTATATATAGTGTTACCATAGTCACCCAATTTGATTTTATTTCACCATAACCACCTAATTTCATATAACGTTTTACTATGACTACCTAATTTCATATAACATTTCACTATGACTACCCGATTTCTTTTCACCATTTTCACTAATTTTAAAAGGGTAAAACAGTAACTTTGTATTATATATATAAAATAATTTTTTTAAAAAAATAAATTTTTTTATTTTAATTTTGAAAATGTTTATTTTAAAATAAGTTTTTATTTTATTTTTTTAAGGAACTTGTTTTTCAAATAAATTTTTATTTTATTTTATTTTTCTAAGTAATTTTTTTTTAAAATAAGTTTTTTATTTTATTTTTTAAGTAGCATTTTTTAAATAAGTTTTTATTTTTTTATTTTTAATAAGTTTTTATTTTTATTTTTATAAAATTTTATTTTATATATATAATGTAAAGTTGCCGTTTTATCCTTTTTAAAATTAATGAAAATGGTGAAAGAAATTGGATAACCTTGGTAAAATATTATATGAAATTGGATGGTTGTCATATAAAGTTGGATGCCCATGATAAAACAAAATCAAATTGAGTGACTACGATGACACCAAGTATAAAATTGGGTGGTCATTGGTGGATTTAACCCTTAAATTTACTTATTTGAGTTATTTATGCCCGATTTTAGTATAATTTATGTTATTGCATTTCTTTCTTTCTTCTATTAGTTCATTTATTAGTTCAAATGAATTACAACATATTGTTGAAAACTGACTACTTCAACAAAATTTTCAATACTTCCAAATCCATCGACAAATAGTGAGAATGGTAGTAAAAAATAAATATATTTTTCTTATAAATTTTTTATTCTCCACCAGTTAAAGACTTCAATATCAATATATATAAAAGAGACAAATCTTGAATAATTAATCGAACAATCACGATTGACTTCTTGCATTATGGGAGTAATGGGATATCAAATTAATAAGGGATAATTGTAGCAGCGGTACCAAACCTTTCATTTAGTAACAAACTTTGCCCAAACACTTCATTTGTGCCACCCACGATACGAAACCTTTCATTTTTGCCACCAACGGCACCAAACCCTTCAAAATGTTCCTCATCTGAAGTCCAAATAGATGATTTCTATTAGTTGACCAAATAATTGACTTTGACAATAATGTTGACTAATTTAAAAATGTTAAAATGGTAATTTTATATTTTTTAATAATAAAATAACCAAAATCAAATAATTAAAATTAAAAACACATTCCACTTACTTCTTCTTTCCCCACCCCCACCCACACCCACACCCACACCCAAACCCAAACCCAAAATTTGCAAATCTGGGTTTGGAACTTCAAGAACGCTTCAACAAGCTCAGCAATGGAGTCCTCAGAACCGAATGTGCGCTCTGCTGCAATGGCAGTGGCTCTAAGGAACTCAGCCTATGCATTTAGCCCAAAACTTCATCTTGATTGAACATAGAATTAGAAATCCAAAACTTCATCTGTAACGGTTCATCTTCATCTCACCCCCACCCCCACACTTATCCCTACCTTCCCTTATCCAACCCCAACCAAATGAACCAAAACCCACCCACCTCCATCGTGCCGATGATTGCAATCCACCCATACACAGGCTACAGCGACCGCCACAAGCGCCCCCGCAAATTAGCAGCAAGAAATTGACCTTACCAGAAACTTGCTTAGACTTCATACGGAAAATCCCTAAGCCCTTTTCAATTTCTTATCTCTTCTTCTCCTCTTTGGTCAAGATAGTCTCTTCGACGGACCATTTTAGCATAAAATCTATATTTTTATCGAGGAGCTCCAATTCTAATCGGTTGTTAAGGTCCAAATCTCTAATCCGGTCTAAGTAGATCTGTATAGTTGGGCAACAAGTTTCTAACGCCATGGATTCGAGGATTAGAAGAGGTTGATTTCCCAAATTTGCATATTGGGGTGGGGGTGGGTAGAGAAGAAGAAGAAGAAGGTGGAATGAGTTTTTAATTTTAATTATTTGATTTTGGTTATTTTATTATTAAAAAATGTAAAATTACTATTTTAACCTCTTAAAATTAGTCAACATTATTATCAAAGTCAATTATTTGGTCAATTAACGGTCAAACTAACAGAAACCATCCATTTGGAATTCGGCTACGGACATTTTGAAATGTTTGGTACCGTTGGTGGCAAAAATGAAAGATTTGGTATCGTTGGTGGCACAAATAAAATGTTTAAGCAATGTCTGCTACTAAACGAAAGGTTTGGTACCGCTGCTATAATTATCCCAATTAATAATAGCTGGCTTTAGCACCACCAGTCCGTCCCTTTCAAAACCTATGAGTCTATCCTCTCAGCTCGGATGGATAGTTTTGGTGTAATTGGAGAGGACATAAAATAGTTTTTCGTGTGTAATTTTCCTTCCTTCTTTTTCATTTTTCTTTCTTTTTTTTTTCCCAAAAAAGTAAGACTAAAATTTATCCGGTCCAAGCGCTTGTGTAGAGCGTGATAACTAGAAAGCAAAAGGCCAAAAATATAAAGAAAAAGAAATAGGTTATTAGCATAAAACGTCCATACGTGTGAAATTTATTGTGCGAAACATCCCAACATTGTATTGTTTTACATTTTCACCCATATTTCAACATTTCATTATGAAAATCATCATTTTCATCAAATTTCTCAATAAGAAGATGTGAAATAACGAATATACCTTTTTATTTAAATCAAACAAAAAGAAAAGAAAAATCAATAACTAATTACATCATACTCTCGTATTTTTAAAAAAATACAAACGAATCCTAAATAAATTATTAAAAAATTTTAAAAAAACTATCAAGTTCTTTATTATTATTTTTATTTAAATAAAAGGGTATATACGTTATTTCATAGTTGTTTATTAAGAAATTTGATGAAAAATGATATTTTTTAGCAATGAAAGATTGAAGTATGGGTAAAAATGTCAAAAAAAAAAAAAATGCAACGTGATATATTTTGTACAATGAATTCCATCTAATAAACCAAGAAAAAAAAAAAAAAAAAAAGCTAGGGTTTCCTTTGGGACCCCCTCCATTTTTATCTATTTATCCGTACATTCATTATAACGCATCTGAATATATTTCGATCGATTAAAGCCGGACGGAAATTAGGGTTTGACGAATTTGGCTGCCGTGGCTGTTAATTAAACGGAATAGGAAGATTGGATTTTAAAGATAGACATTTATATATTTGTGAATCAAATCGAACGGAACCGAATTAGTTGAATTTGTAAATATGGGAAGATCGAAGAAATCAAAAAGGGTTAATTGGGCTTCAGATGTTAATCTTTGTCAGGTAAATCCTCTGAAGGAATTTCTTCGTCTTGTTTAATGATTTTTCTATCCAATTTCAATATTGAACCTTTAAAAAATAGAAAGATGGATGATGGACAGTAAGTTGAGATTTTGATGGATTTTAAATTATTATATAAATTAAAATTAAAACGAAAAATGCTGGTTTTTGATGGATGAAACTAAGAGGCTTGTGTATTTCTTGACATTGCATGTTAATTCTTTCATTTAAATATTGCTTGATACGAGTAATAATCACTAACTTTGAATAAGTAATCAGATTGATGGAAAGCAGAAAGTAAAGAAACTAATAATTAAATAGAAAAATAAAGAAACAAGGAATGCAATTCCTTGATGGAAGTTCAGTGTTGATATAACGTTACATGAGTTTAAGCTGAATAAGAAAGTCAGTTACAATGAATGAGTTTTTCTCTCTCTTTTTTATGAATATCAATTGATGTTTGTATTGAACCTTTATAGCTGATGAATGTGAGAAATAGACTAGTCAGCAAAATTATCACTTGAAATTGTCGTAACATTCTGAGGTTGCATGAGCGTTGGTGACCTCAAGATTTAAGGATTGAGATTGAACATAAAAACCACATGGAATTTGGGAAGATTGTGGCCTCCTTTCTAGTTTGAGAACTCGAGAAGGAGAAACTCAAAACAAATGGAAAGTGAATGACGAGAAGATTGTTCTTTTTGTAATGGTGGAACTGAAAAAATGGATTGATGTAGGTGGACCAGGAGGTTCTTCAGATATAAATGAACCAATGTTTGTGTTAGTTCGACTATGGTCAGAGGATACCACTAAGTTGCAGCAACATGTGAAATTATTGGTTTAGCTTTTGTCAGTATATTTAAGTGTTGTTGAAATCGTGAATGATCCTGAGATGGTCTTATTATGTTTGACAAGTATCTGCTGTTAGATGAAGCGAAAATGTTGACTCAATTTTTCTCTGTAGAAAAGCAGAGAAAAAGTTTAAGAACTGAAGGAGATGAGGTTGACGTTATCGGTGAAACAAAAAATGAGATTCATTTAAAATGAGAGTAGCCAACAGAGGATTTGATGGGAAAAAGGAGAAGGATCATAGTTCCAACTGACATTTATTTTTTCTTCTCAAATAGAGTGGTGCACCTTTTTGGGAAAAAAAAAAAAAAAAGAGGAACTCTTGTTGTTTTCTTTTCCAGAGAGAGCTATCATTAACTAGTTGTCGCTGTCATTTTTAGATTCATTTGAAGTGGAAATTAGATAGATTTGTTGATGATGTTACCGTTGGCACTTCAGCTAGTAAGATCTATGTGGTTTACATCTAGTTGCAGACCTTTCAGTAAACGCAATGCTAGTTCTAGTTAATCAGCAAAAAAGGGATTCATGTAACTGACCCTGATCATACGTCTTGTCAATGATTTTTGTTGCCTGACCTCCAAATTTTAGAATATTTATACTGATATTCAGCTGCAGGGCCATTTACACTTATGTTTATGTTGAACGAGCACATGCACCTAGAAATCGTTCTTAGTGCCTAGAGGATTACCTTTTCCTGATTACACCTTTCATGTCTTCATTTTATTGACCTTTTGCAGCATCAGATAATTGTTGCAATTTGGTCATTGCTAATATTCTGGAATTTAGGGTGCAATTATCTGATGCACACAAGAAAATATCAACCGCCTACCTCTCCTAATATTTTGAAGTGGCTCAACAGTGTAACATAGATAGATTCTTTAGTGGTCTAAGCTGGAAATGAACTGTGTTAATAACTTCTTCTCTAGTAGTTGTAGCTGTGTAGATTCGAAGTTAATCCTATATCATTTTTTGGCATTTAACCAAAATTTCCAGATTATAGGAATGTTTTAATTGAGAAGTCTCCCTTGTGGTACAATATCGTCTGATGAAGTTTCTAGGGGTTGAAAGGGCTTAGTTATTTAAACAACTGAAGGCTAACTTGACTTGATAAGCAGCCATGGTGGCTAAATAATGCTAGTATTCCAGTTTGAACAATTTCTTTATCTTGGGTTTCACTGACATATGGGTTAAGTGGCTGACATATATCCAAGGGTAAAATGTATAGGAGGCTGCCATACTTTCGTCAAATTTTGATTCCTTGATTAACTTCTCTCATTCTACTTCAATTTACTCAGTATACTTTCTGTTCGCATACATTGTCAATGAATAGTAAATATAGATGGAATGTTAGTCATGTTTAAAGTTTAGTGGTAAAATTCTGAATGAGGGAAGTAATGTAGTTTGTTGATTTAAAGTAGCTCTATTTTTTGTAACCTCCTTTCTGTGAATATTAGAATTTCTAACACTAATGGAACCTTAAGAGGTGTCTGAGTCGTATCTGAAAAGTTGAATGATGATAAATCAGCTGCAGGATTAAGTTATGTTGTTAAATTAAGGTATCTCAATGTCTTGTGCTCTTCTTAATATTGAAGAAAAAGGCATGTTCCCGGCATGTGGTGTGGTGGGTGATTTGAAATGAACGAGAGTTACAGTGAGTCATATGAATCATAGAAATTCAATGGCCTTATTGAGGTTTCTTGGTCTCTGATGCCCTTTATCTTTTCTATTCATGCATCAGTTAAGTGTGCAATAATTTTGCCTTCCTAACAAGGCTTAACTTTCACATCCCTTGTCTCAAACTTTTAAGGTTAAATAACAATTGAATCATCGTAACACGAAAAATAAATATGTATATTGTATAAAGAAGTGAGAGAAAGAAAAATTAGAAGAAAAATGTATAGAGGAATTTCAGTATCACTGGATATATCAAATCACTTGTCTATATTAATAGATAGTCATATTTATCCTTAAAAATTCAAGAAATTGCTGATGATGGACACCAAACTTTTCCAATTGGAGCACTTGGTCCTTAATCAAAATTTCTTGACATTTGGATCACAAACTTTCATTTTTTGGTGCAAATTAATTCTGACTGGATGGAGACCATCTTTTTTTTCCTGTTGCAAATTGGTGCAAACCCCAGGATTTGTAAATCGGGGAAGAGAAAGTCTCCAGCTTTTTGGAGGGGTTTTGTGAAGGGGTTTTCTCAGTGGGCGGAGGTGGGTAATGGAGGAGGTTGATGGCAGCACGTCGGAAATTGATGAAGATAATCCTTTTGTCCATTTTCTTTGTACTTTTCAATTGTTTTTTTTTTTTGGGAGAAGTGTAAATGATTGATGAAAATAACCCTGCCATAAGTGTTCATGTGCACGGTATGTGACATTTACCAGAATTTTTTACAGTTTCTGCCTAGTGGGGATCAACTTGCACCAAAAATGGAAGTTTGGGTATCTGAATGTCAAGAAATTTTGATTGGAACCTAAGTGCTCTACATCGCAAAGTTTGGGGACCCTGGCTGTAAATTTAATTAAAACTTCCCAAGCAAAATAGGTAACTGCCGAAATTTAAAAATAATAATAATAATAATAATAATAATAATAATAATAATAATAATAATAATAATAATAATAATAATAATAAACATTAAAAATTGAATGGGTTATGATGAGCCAAGTGATTGGGCTCAAATTTATCATGTTCAAGATGATGCTTAAGAGAAATGCACATGACATCTCTCAATTCTCTACACTAATAATGATCATCAACAAGCTTACAATTTTTTGTCACTCGGCATTTGAATGGTTAGGAAAGGTTTATAATAATGTAGCATGACCATTAATCACTCGGTAAAGGCACGAGGGCAATATTTTAGCAATGAGAAAAGTCATGGATGCCAAATTGCTGGAAGCAAACTCAAGTGTAGTTAAAACAAAATGCTATTACTTTTCACCAACTAAGCTTAAGTCCCCGAGACTACAATTAATAGTTGAGTGTGGAAAACAGATAATATTTTAGTGTGGTTCCAAATACTTTTCCAAAAAATAACTGGCTCTTGACATTTCTATCGAATACAACAGTAGAACGCTACCCATACAAGTAATGATTTCCTGGAAAACAATTTGCCACATGCAAGGCTGTACAAGTTCTGGAACAGAGAATAAAATGTCATTTGAGAAAGAATCATGACTTCTAACAGCTATAGACAATCTTAGAGTAATATTCATGCTAATTTCATGTCACTTAAAAGGGTAAGTGGAACTATAACTGGAGCATATAACCCAAAACTTTGTTTCTTAGCCTTACTTAATTTTCAAGTACCATACTGAAACTTGATTCTGGCAACATCTCGTTTAAGATAGTGCTAATAGAATCTGTCTTTCACTAACGCTAGGTCTACTCCCTACAAAAATATTGCGTTAACCCTCCTACATGTAATTCCTAAGCTAAGAATTCTCTAAGTGAATGATGATAGGTACACTTTTAGTTCCTGGGAAAAGACAATCCTTCCAAAAAGTACGTGTTAACAACTAACTCATGAATTTATTAGGATCATTAGGTATCCTAAAAGGCTAAAGTAACGACTCCTATAAGTCATCCCGGGTATGGAATGCCTTTTCCATTCATGCCCTCGTTGAATCCTTATGTTATGGTATCTATTATGTAAATCTCATTTGGAGAACTGCATTGAACCAACTAGCTCATCCAACATATACTCGAAGTTTAGGAAAAACCTATACTTCGCTCTGATTTTGTTGTGGCTCTAGTGTCCACACAATTTCCAAGATCTATCTTTCTTAGGAGGGAGTAATATAGACTTAGCACAACACTACAGCTATTATGAATGAACTCTCTTTATTTATAACTTAGAAGTCCTCTACTCCTCTATTCAACTTGGATTGCTATGGGATCATCCTATAATAGAGAGTGCTAGGCAATTATAATCCACGGATTACGTTTACGCCAATAGCTACATGTCTCTCATCGTTGGTAGCTCATGAGGAAATTCCTTACATTTGGTATCTCTGGTTTCCTGCTATAAAGGTGTACATGATGGGGGGCATCATGCTGGATTCAGAAGAAAGAAGAAAGCATTTTCTAGAAAAAAAACAACAAATATAGCACTAAATTCACTTCCTTCTTGCTCAAAGTTACTATGAGATAGAAGTTGAATCCTATTTCTTTGTGAGTTCCTAGAAGTGGGCTTGGCTACAGGCTTGCTGTTGAGGACCAAGGGTTTAACAGGTCTCAATACCAGTTTCTTACTTCTATGATTAAACTCATGGGTTTTTGCACTCAAAAGTTTTCCACATCAAAATCTTGAGTGTCTTCCATGATTAATATATCATATTATAAGTCCTCTCAACAAGTCTCAACTTTAGTGTAGCTAGATATCTCTCGGCTGCAAAGAAGTTTTATCTATGTAAGCTACTTTGAAATAACGATGGTGGAGCTCAAGTTGAACACCAAATTTAGCAATGTTAGATTTCAGCTTTAAGTTCAAAATGCTTCTTCCTTCAATCACAAGTTTGCAAGACCTGTCCTTGTAGTGCAATTAGACATGAAAGATCGTTGCGCCCCCTGCATGTATTAGCATGCATTAGAGTCGCTGGGAAGATTTGTCTAATTACTGAGACTACTTTGTCATCGTCCCTATAACCCTTGACATTATTTCCCTTGTAATCAGAAATTTCTATACGGTCAAAGGCAAAATGATCATAGTCTTCATTGATTGGAGTGTCAATGTCATCTTCTGTAATGTAAGAAAATAAATTAGAATCTATTTTATTTATCTACTCTTGAAATAAGTGTTGGCACGTCTTCAAATGAAATCTCCACAGCAATCTCCATCCCTTTCCCTTGGCTGACACAACTGGAATCTGGTCAGCTAAATTGTATATGTTATTCCAACAAACCTAGATAAAGGAGAACTACATGCCTCTCGTTGGACAATCTGGTATATTGTTCTTTTTTTCTGGAAAACCACATTCCTCTCCTTGTGGAAGATGTAGGAGATGACTTGTATGTCTTTTATTATCAATACTCTCTAAGAGAATCAATGGACCTATTTTTTATGTTACTGCCTCAGATATTTCTGGTCTATTTTCTTTTGAGGGTTGGGATTTTTTAGGAAACTGCTGAATAATAATATGTTTATGTAGCATGCGTGCTGTGCTGCCTTTTTTTTCCCAGTTTATTCTGTCTCTTACATGGGTGGAAAAGTTGCTTCCTTGTCCTCATAGGTGTTAAGACTAGACTTATGGAACAAATGGAGTCAAATTTGTGAATGACTGCTCCAGTTTGTTTTGTATGGCTAATTTGATGAGAACATATAGAGTGTTCATGAACGTCTTCTAGCTATCCTGCTGTGGCCTTAACAAGGTGGTGGGGCTAGATAGAGGTGCTTGAGCCTGCTCAATAGTTTCAAATGTCCCGAAGAATATTTTACTTAAAAAAGTACTTTCTGATTAGTGGTTGTTTTAAATATGACACAGTTTTCATATTGTTTAGTTTGTTTGTTTTCGTGTCCATTATGCCTTGTAGTTTCATTTCTATTTATTGTTGTTCATGTATCCTGTAGAATGTATCTACAATCATGCACTTCATGGTTAACTATTTCTGGGATAAAATATACCTTGATGTCAATAGACAGTATCTGTAGATTGACTTAAACGAGTCAATTATTAGAGATAAATCCTATTACTGTTCAATAGACTAATAACATTCCTTCTTTTAGGTAAGGCTGTTTTTGTCAGAAGAATATCCTTCACAAGTTGGCGTTGAAACTCAAGACCACCTCCAGGCAAAGACTTTATGGTCAGTCCATACAGGCGGTATCGCATCTGATGACAATTTGCCACCCGGCTTTGAAGGGCACCAGCCTGGAAATCTTTGGAGAAATAAGTTGTCCCAACTACCTCTTATCAAATGGAGATGCCCTCCCAGAGTGAGTCATTTGTATTGTTGTGTTTGTAAAGATAAATATGCTAAAGCACGAGTATTACAATTCAAAGACTCGAGATGTTAGGGGAAAAGGGGTGGAGTTTAACTAAACAGACAGAATAAATTCTTCACTTTACTGATACGATACACTCAGACTTGACTTCCTTACGAATTTGCACCTTTCTATATAAATAAAGTCTCACTAAACACATCTCCTCAATTTTCTTAGTTTTCTTGTTCTGCTGGAACGGCTTTGTTTGCAAGTTCAGTTACTCTATATATACTCCACACAGGGGGTAGGGGAATGGGGTGGTATTCATCTTCCTTGCAGAGTTGAATTATAGCACATTATGTACTTGCAAAGGTCTTGCCTTAAAATGCTTTTCTGCATATTTTACGACTCTTTTGCAGTTTGAAGTGGACGGTGTGTGGAGAGTGGTTGCTGGGGATGAGAGTAAAGAAGTGGAAGCTCAAAATCAACGGGAGATGAGAGTGTTTGAAGCAATTTATCCTCGTCTGTCGTCTATTCCTCCAAAGTGTGATGTTTTCCTCTTTGAGTTTCCTTTTCATTCCTCTATTTTATTTGGCGGTGTTTGGGCTTCAAGTCAAGTTTTTATTACATGTTTGTATTTCTCTCTTAATGAAACGTTTGCTTATATACTTGTGTAGCCCTTCGGTATCACTTGGCATAGAAGACTCATTTCAAAATGACCAAAATACCATTCTGATTCCTATCACTGCCATTGAGGATGATGATGCTGCACTAGATGCACCACTTCCCTGCTTGGAGTCAAACACTGCCCCCATGGCCTCACAGCCACAGATATTGGCCCACAGAACTTCCTCCTCTCAGGTTAGCAGCGGTACTGATCCCCATGCCTATAAAATCCCAGAAACAGGTGAAGACTCTTTACTGCAGCCTGATATTGTAGCCACTGCACAAGCTGCCTTGACTGCAGTGATGTCGAAAAACAATCAGGGAAATTTGATTGATCATAACTTGCTCATTAAAATTCTCAGCGATCCTAAAATGATTGAGAAACTTGTTACGAACCATGGAACAGCCTCCAGCACTCAAAATGTACCTTCATCCAGCATTCCAAATATACCTCCCACTGGTGTGCAAAATATTCTGTTTTCCAGTAATATGCCATCAACCAGCATGCATAATTTTCCCTCTTCTAGCACAATAAAGTTGCCTAATTCATATTCCAGTACTATCAATGGTCGGGATCCACCTTCTGCCCATGTTGCCCGACCAGAACTCGTTTCATCTCCGGCTACATCAAGTCGACCTTTCTTTTCTCCAAGTAGGATAGGACCGATTCCCCCAATCCGGCCATCAGTGCCCGAGATCATTCTAGCACCCCCTCCATCTGCAAGACCTCCCGTAGTTAAGGACGTTAACTATTATAAGAATCTCATTCAACAACATGGAGCAGAACGACCAGAGGGGTTACCCCAATTTGGTAATCAACGATTAGGCACAATCCAAGAACCTCTAAATGTTGCCAAATCTAGGGACCCAAAATTAAAGATTATGAGGCCTTGCATATATTTCAATAGTGCAAGGGGTTGCAGGAATGGAGCTAACTGTGCATATCTGCATCAGACATCGTCCCAGCCGCAGGTCGGTAGAGTTCCAGATGTTCAAAGTACAAAGAGAATGAAAATGGATAGAGAGATTACTGGTACATAACAATATTCACATATATTTTGTGAGAAGAATTTTCTTTATTTTATATTTTGCAACGAGAAGAAATTCATATTTTGTTATATTCTTATCTGGAATGGTTTACTTTGTTCATGTATCATGATAATAGTTTGCATTTTTGCATGTTTTATATGACATGGTTCGTATTGCGTTCTATGCTCGTGATGTATCATAGGAATTATGTTTTGTGAAAGAAATATTCCGATTTTCCAGTTGTGTTTATCTAATTGTTTCTTGAAAATCTCGTTTAATATGTTGTACTCGAGCTTGTGTGAGATGCACAAATCACCCTCTATGCTTGAGATAGTTAAAGTGCATGATTGCCGGTGAGGAGAGCACCACCTACTACACGAGAGTTGAAATCTCGATGAACATGAGTATTATAAAAATAGGAGTATTTTGATGTCAAGTGCAACAATATTTAGAAGTTTACAATAATAATTTTGTGCAGTACTCGTGAATAAGTGTTTTTAGCAATATGTATGACAAAATCAATGCATAGTAGACCTTTTAAGCAGCGTTTTCATTGCATTGTGTAAGTCAGCAATTTCGTTACTTTTGAAAGATGAGGCCGTTCCAAAAAAAAAAAAGGAAGGCTCAGTGATTAATTCGTAACAGAAGAAAGAATAATTCTAATTGTACCGAATGGGGGTTACCGAAAATGTGCCACCCTCTCACACGCACGCGGGGCCCGCATGAATAAAAGACTCCAAAATGTGTGGTTCCCACACCCTATTGTGAGTACAGGTAAAAAATTATGTAAAAAATTGGGTATACATGTAGCATAATTCTAGAAGAAATATTTGATGATCAAGTGTAATAATAAAACCTCATTTTGCAACGTCACTATAATAGGGTTTTTAGAACATTCACCACTTTTTGACGAAATTATCACTCTTATATGTAAAATGTCAATTTTATCCCTTTTGCTGAAAAAAAAATATATATATATATATATATCATATAGAGCATGACTGATAGGTGCACTATTCTTTCGACAAGAAAGTATAAAATTTTAAGACGTACGCTTAACTAGAAGCCTTTGTTACAATCTCTTCTATCAAATGATCTCCCTCTGACACACTTTGAAATGTTGCGGAAATCAATATTGAAGATATTTTTGATACGCTCTACAAAAAGTGGCCATTTTTACAAGGATAGTCTTATTTACACCATGCACAAAAAAAAATTGAGTAATGCTACATTTACACGCTTGGTTCACATTCACTTTCACATCCCTCTCACATAGGGGGTGGTGCCCGTAATTTTAAAAATCGTTGGCCACACCCCCTATGTGAGAGGAATGTGAAAGTGAATGTGAACCAAAGTGTGTACATTTATTATTTTTGAAAAAAAAAAATCCTATTTTTATTGGATCAAAAAAGAATTTTGGTATTGCTGAATCAAAGACCGAAAAAGCAAAAAAAAAAAAATTGATTGGTTAGCAAATTTTAATTGCTCAACATTAGGGACATTTTGGGTACTTCCGATCAAAGGAATGTGAAAACACTTTGGGGATATAAGTACAACAATGAGCAAATATTGAATACCTTTATAGTAATTAAAATATGACGAACAAAATTGTAACATGAATATAATTTCCATTTTTGTAATGGTTTTAAAAGGTGTTCATTTCATAAAAAAGGACATTTTGCAGGAGTCATTTCCTAGCCTTTCCATTTATTATGGGGTTGTAGGGGCTATGACAAGATTAAGCCCTTTGACAATCATTCTTTTAAAAAAAAAAAAAAAAAAATGGGTTTTTAAATTGTAAAATTTTGGAGAATATATGGTTAAAAAGTAAAAAAATAAAATAAAATAAATTTACGTGAAAAATATTTTATTGTGAGACTGTGTTGTCGAAATGAGAATGAGAAAAAAAGAGTTTTAGAAGAATGATTGTCAAACATGAGTTAAGCTCGTGTAGCAGAGATTATTTCAAAGGAAATGTTGCACTAATCGCTTCTTAGGGAAAGAAGAAAAAACGAGCAAGTCTGGAATAACCAGTCTTGCGTTGGTACTGAAGCTGCAATGATAGGGTTCTCTCCTCGGTAATATTGAGTATTACTCTGCATAGTAGCTGCAGGGACATTGCGCTAGGCGAATACATTTGTGGGCAAGGCATGATTCTTAATTCTTGTAACATTGCAAAAAAGCTGAGAGAGAGAGAGAGAGAAGTGCTCTATTGTCAACGAACTGAATTCATTTCGCAACTATATACAATCAAGAAACTCTTTACATAAAAGTTATAAACCCCTCAATAATTCTTACAGGCTTGAAGAACAAGAAGAATCATTTTAATTGACTTGATAAACAAACAAGTATTAAGATATCCCAACGAAAGTATTCTTTAAAATCCCAAGCAATATAGCCACAGCCAAGCGTCTCAAACAATCAACTGTGATATATTCGTATTCTGATTTGATAGTCAAGAGATTTATTCATCGATCTTCTTTCCGAACTGTATTTGGATTAGCCACCATGTCCATCATCATCTTCTCCGGCGAGTCTTCCCAATTGGCAAAAGTTTTCAGATCAACCTGCAATAGTCAAAAAGGAAAATGTAATCAGTACCTGTAGCCCAATTAACCTTTCGAAAACTTACATGCTCAAAAAACTTGGTTACTTTTCGCCTTTGCTCTGTAAAAATTTCCTCTCTCTTCTTATAAGAAGCTTGAACTTTTCTGGCACTTTTCCCTCCTAATCCCCACACCTCGACTTCCGAAACTGAAGCTTCAACTGGTAGGAACCCCTAAAGCACAATGATGTCACAAATAAGTACTCCATGGGTCGAGAACTACAAAGTTCTAAAAAAAAAACAAAACTCATTTTCCACCAAGGAGAAAATTAGATCCAATTAATAATATGCAAGCAACAACAAAAAAAAAAAACTAGCTTTGTTCCCAATAAATTTACGGTTGGCAATGTGAATCCTTTTTCACCACTCCGTTCGATTAATAGCTACATCTATTAGAAGATATAATGCAACTAGATCCTTAACAATTAGAACAAGCTATCTTAGTTTTGATCTACCCCCCTCTCTTCTGACTTGTTCTACCAACATCCAATTGCTCTTATATTGGAGTTGTTTTAGGTATGAGTAAAACCGTGTCTCAACTATGTCAGTCGTTCTTGCCTCAATTTATTATCAATCGGCACCACCTCCACTAAGTGGTGTAAGTTCTTGTTTCTTATTCATTATATTTAGCATGACAAAACAAAAGCATAACACTATTTCAGCAATAAAATATGAACTTTCAAGATCAATGATAAAAGTTCAAGACTCAAAAAAATTGCGTTATGAGGCAACCTTTGAGTCAAACTGTCAGCAATCTAACCTTAAACATATTAAGGCAAAGGTACGTTGGATTGGATCTGATGGGTCAACGGGTTTGCCTAACAGGTTAAATTTACAAGGGCCAGTCTGCAAAATGCCAGACCTGTAATGCATTTTATTATGTCTTGCTATATTTTTTTATTATCAAGGTGAATTAAATATCACGGATTATTTTTATACAAGTTTTCCTGAACTCTTGGAAATAAATTTTCTCATACTTGAGGTTTGGATATAAATATTAAACTAAATGGCAGGGATAGTGATTAAGGGAGTGCATAGAAAGTCATGCATGATCTTTACGAGATTTTATAAAAATGTAGATGCGCTATCTGAATAAAAAAGAAAAGTCAGAGTAATCAAGAGTGAATAAGAAACGAAAGATTTTTAAGATTTTTGAAACATGTAGATTTACACCATCCAAATAGAAGTGAGATGTTAAAACAAGCAAATAAGTCTCCCCACAGGAGCAGGCAGATAGAACAGAAATGCATACGAGAGACCATCCTTTGTGACAGAATGGGCATGGCAGCAGAATTACATGAGCACTTTGTACCACAAGAAAATCGTGAAACCTTCCTATTACTTTAATATATGGACAATTTTAGGGTCATACCTGATTGGGGAAAAGGCTACCATGTTGATATGTTTTATCAACTGCATGGTGGCGCACAGTAACCATAGCAAAATCCCCATCCATAAATATTCTCTCGTTCCCCATGGATCCTCCAAAAGCAATTCCCACCGGCGTTGGATGTGCCTCATACACCCTACCAGTTGGATGAAGATGGCTATAGACAGAGTTTTTCTCCCTTCCTGCCAAGAAGTTAAATATTCACTTAATTCCAGTCAGGCAAACTAATTTCTTTCAGAATCTTCGAAAATTATCACCAAACATAAGAACTTTCTACTTTACCAACCTGAAGATGAGAATCCGTGAAAGACTGGACTTATAGCATACAGACAGCCAGAAGTTCCATAAAACATTTCCCTATTTTCGAAACCTTGATCGGTGAGTGCGCCAATAATCCATTTCCTTGTATTTTTATTATCCTCTTGAGCAGCAGAAATCAGCATTAGTAATGGACCATTGTAGCCCTCGACATTTGACCAAAATCGATTCAGACCTTTCCCATGAAGAGATGACCTATTCAAGGTTTGAAAGAGACGTTAAATAAAGAACTGCACGATTTTTGAATGACAAGAGCACGTAATATACTGTGGAAAATACATCTATATAACAGACATGGTTCTTATGCCTGAGCATTCAAGATATTTCTCATGAGAAAACAGGTATTGAGAAAATGATAGAAGAGCAAATAAAAAACTCAACTGGAAAATTTAATCAATCAAATCAGATTAAAAGAAATAGATTTACATGATTTCATCATATCATGTTATGAAAGATATTTAAATAAAAGGAAATAAAATAATAATTATAAATTTGATTCTATATGCATAAGTATGACAGATTTTAACATTTTTGGCAGCCCAAAATATAAGATATACACTGACCAGTAAGTGCATGACATTCAAACACCAAAGCAGCTAACATATGCAAAACAATATGCATCCAAGTAGTTTATTGCAACTATGAGTAGCGGGCTATAGCATACAATAAATGTTCTGCTCATCTCCTTTGATGCAGTAAGCATGATAATTTATGAAACCTAGACAACCATGTACATTTCCTTTCTCTTTTACCCTTAATACATAAATATAATATATACCAAGGAATGGTCAAAAGGAGAGTGAACAAACCGATAGAGTAAGTTTTCATTAATATCACCACCATTACTTGGGAAACAAATTTTTGATATCTCTTCGTATATAGGACTTCTCAGGGAAAGTGAGATGGCCCAGGCCCTGCCTGAAATAAGAAGGTTGGTATTGCATAGTTCTGTTGGGGAATTTTCATGAGCAGAAGAGCATGATGGCTCCAATTTCTCCTGAAATTGGTTGGGATTACACAATCAGACATAATCTTATATCCATGTCAAACTCGACAAATTTGATTTCTCTAAGAGACATCATTGTTGAATTCCGTCCTAATGTGAGATGGCATCAGAACGAGAGACAACACAAATGCCAAGCAGATAATTCAAACAGTATCACAAATTACAGACCAAGTGATTTTCAGGAAAATAGAAAACACGATTTAAAGCTTAGAAGAGCATCCATTATTTGACAGAAATGCAAAAATAAGAAAAAATACCCATCCTTATGCCATGTAAGCACAAATATTTTAGAGCTTCTATTTCAGATTATGTATGATGCTTACACCTCTATTACAGATTGAATTCTTGGTTTGACTTGGATTGGTTTTTTATCTGAGACGAAGACTTCAGGCATTTCACCATTTCTGCCCTTGAATTAGTTCCCCAGTTGATTACACTTCCTTTCTCTTATCAAGTGTCTCCCCATGAACCCTGCCTCTCTCCGACCTGTCTCTGCTTCTATTGAAATTCCTTACAGATTACTAAAAAGAGAAGTCAAATCACCATTAGCACTTTGGAGAACTGCCACTTCCATCCAGACTCAAACCATCATTAACATCACCATCCTATATAATCTTATCTGAAGAATGAAAAGTTACTACCACTATCACCACAATTGAGTGCTTCAGTTTTTTTACCCTTTTTTTTAACCAACAAAAGAACCATGGTCTCCTTTTCCTTTTTTCTTTTAATCTTCTAGAAGAGAAACCTCAGTAGAGCTAAATGAATAAATAAAATGAAATCCTACAGATACTGAAAGGTGAATTACTTGTTGGCTTCACAGGAACTCTATGGTTAATTGTTCCACTGTATAAATGCAATGTTGATATCTTACACGGTTGCTAGTGAATGCACAGTCATACAATGCTACTACACAGAGAACAACCATTAAAATATGTCCATTTCAAACTCGAAACAAGAGCATAAAGACGTAAATTCATTTGATCCAATCAATTTGAAGCAAGAGGCGAGGCATAGAACCTCTTGAGTTGCCGAGCAGCAGAGTCTCGCATGGACAAATTGCACAAAGCAATCAGCTAGATTTGGTACAGTTTTCAATGCCCATAAATGAATCTTCGTAGCAGGAAGTTGAACATCCAAGTCTGAAACAATGCAATCCCAATAATCCCATTTCTGATCACCTTCAGCACATGATTCAATGGCTGATAAGACCAAATGGGAAATATCCGGAAGACTCCAATCCCCTCTGCTTTTTTGTAAGTTCAGCTTTAACTTTCTAGAATCTGACAACAAAATCCAACAAATCCAAAGAAGCAATAGCAAATCAATGGGCAGTAATGACCCACTGATTTTACAGTCATCCTCATATGACTCGAATTGCAGCTTAACTGGAAGTCCTGCCTTTGAAAAGGCAGTGGAAAAAACTCGGAATAAATTATTTAATGATGTTGAAGCAACTGTCCTTCCGCAGCATTTCACGTACCCTTTCAGGAACTCAATCCAACTCACTCCATTTTTATCCGCCAAGAAAAATAAGTCAACTACTGCAGAACCCAGGTGGCTTAACAACACTGGCAATTCTTTCTGCACTGCAGTTTGTTCAGATATTCCGTTCTCAAAAGCTAAGCTGAAGCATTTCTGAAACCAGTGGATAGCATGTAAGAGGAAACCATAAAGAAAACCATAAATAATTATCCAAATACCATAAGAAGGGTGGTTTCATTTAATAAAATAGCAAATATTAATTTCAGAATGCAACATCTTGAACTCGTGTTGCCGCCGATTCAGGACAAATAATGAAATTTAATTTTTCCGAATATTTCAAGGAAAATATAAGAACCCAATTTTTTTTTCGTGGACCCCAATTAAGAAAACAAAAGATTATCAGTAAAAATGCCGACGAGTAAACCAGTAAACTGATTCCGTCCAAATAATGAAATTCAATTTTTCTTTTCAAATAATATCATATTAAAGGGATATTGATTCTATCTTTTACCTGGAGAGAATTGAGGGGTATAGAATTAGTATGGGGATCTGATAGAAGAGAAAATGATTTTTCAAGAGCGGGGAGAGCTCCGGTTGATGCTGCTAATGATTGTACCTCGCGTAGCTCCGGTGATACTTGCTCTGTTGACGATGATTGCCCCATTTCCGATTATAGATTGCTCTTCCTTCGCTTCTTATACAGTTTTCTTGATGAGAATCTGAGAATCGATCAAGGAGATTATGGAGTTTAACTGATTCTACCGCTTAGCTCCATTGGGTAAAATTGGGCTTATTTGGCCTTTGGGAGCACCTAAGGCCAAGCCTACAATTGGTAGAAAATAAATGAAAACTTATTAAAAAGTATTTTTTTTTTTTTCCCCCTTCAAAGTAAGAAAAAAAAGGTTTGAAAATATATTTAGCATTCGTTCGATTTATTTAAAAAGTTGATAAAAATTTAAATCAAAATGAATAATTAACTTTAATAATACATTTCGTGTGATACAATTTTTATCACATTTTAATCACGCATTTTATCATTTTTATCAAAATCTACTAAAATTCAAACAGGGACTTACAAGAAATAATTATTAAACTTTTACGCCTTGTTAGACTTAGCCAAACACACTCTTAGTCACTTGAAGGTAAATTTTCACCTTCTCTGGCTTATATATAAGAGTAAATTCGAATTTAGATAGGTAATCACTCGAATCGTTTCATATATTTGTCTTAGGGGAAATTTTGTTTCGAAGTCTATTTTGAACATGAGGTAATACAAAGAGTTTTTTCTTTTCTCTTGAAGGTCGTCTAATCAAAATGTGATAGTTTAAAAATATTACAAATCACTTGATACCGTAAAATTTATTTCAATATACGAAGTCATGCAAACATAGATGCATTTATAAACTAAGTTATAGTTTATTTGAATATATCATATCAAAATATCAACTTCTCAATTAGACATTTCATTAACTTTTATAAAAAAATTGATTTTAGCATAATCAACACAGGCATAAGTTGCTTTCATTTTGTTTTGTTTTGTTTTGTTTTTTTTTGTTTTTTTTTTGTTTTTTTTTTTGGGATATAAAACAGAATAAAAGTATCAAGATATAACCTTTTTCTTGTCAAAATAGATGATTACATTTTACACCATCAGAATATATTTAGCCCCCGTTTGAGCCCCATTTTTTCAAAATTTATTTTTAATCACACATTCTCACATAAAATAATTTTATACGTAAATCAAAAAAAACTTTTCTTAATTTTTAATCATATATTCTCCAAAAAATCACTATTTCAAATACATTTTACTTCAAAAATTGGGATCAAATAGGGGCTTAATAATATGGATTAAATAATATTAAAGTGTATTAAAAAGAAAAAAAAAACTAGAATTTTATTTATTACACAATATAATATACCAAACATGTACTTAGATTTATTATTATTATTGTTATTTAATTTTGTATTTTTACCTATTTGGATCTGTCGGTTATAGATCAGTGTTGCAAATGACAAGAGTAAGGTGGTCTCAGTTGAGCTGACAGTTGCAGTGTGAGTGTTCGATTACTGCCTCTTACAAGGTATGTAATTGGATTCTTTGTGGATACAAATATGACAACTTTTATACCCTGACTTGTTGATACACATTTCGCGATTTACCTCATTCACAATACTCTGGGCATGCCTTTATTTGGAGCTGTCGGTCCTTGTTGGTTTCCATGATATTTTCTTTGTGGTGTGCACGAGGTTGTCGTCATTGACAAGACCTATTGCACAATCTGTACTTAATCAATACGTGTTAGCTACTTTTTAAGGTCCAACCAAATCATGCAACGGGGTTGTTTGACAAAAAACATTTAACAGATTTTAAAAAGAAAAAAAATCGATAAAATATTTGGTTACAAAACTAATAAAAATTATGGATTTTATATTGCTAGATTCAAACTGTAATTGGTAAGTTCTGTATTCAAAATTATAGTTATTTAATTGTAATCCCTACTATAATAAAAGAGCCAATCCGTTGGGCACTATTCATTTTGAAGCATTTGTGTTTCCCTAATTACCCCCTTTGCTATTTACTGTTTATGCAAAATGTTGAAATTGTTATAACAATCTAACCCACAGTTGTTGACTTTTACCGTCATTTTGGTTTCGCCAATTACCCATTTGCTATCTACTGTTCATGCAACAGGTTGAAATTGTTACAATAACTTAACCCACAATTTTTGACTTTGACCGTGATTTTTATTTTCATACTGCCCGTCTTTCGGTTTCCATAATTACCCTTCCACCGCTGAATACTGTTCATTTTGAAGCATTACTATTTCCTGAGTTACCCCTCCCCGACACTACTGTTCAGTGTTTTATTTTTATTTATTTTTTAGATTTTAATTTTTCAGAATCAAAATATTGTGAAATCGATAACGTAGTAAACTAGCTAATGGCAAGTTTTAACTTAAATGAACTGTTTTTTATTTTAGATTATATACATTTAATATATATTTTATTCATATATAAATTCAAATATTATTCTATTACTTGCATTTCTTACTATATAATATTTATTCGCTTATTTACATAGTAATCTATTATACCTATTTTTCACTTAGATTAAACGTATTTTCATCTTAGTTTACATACATTTAATATAATTATTCATCTAGACTACTATATAAATATTTTCATTCAAATTTGCAAAAGACTTAAGTTATTTAGAACACTCGATTATTAAATATGTAGTTTATGAATTTATATCTATATTAAACATGTACTATGTATATTTTTTTATTATTATTTACGTTAAAAAAGAAAAAAAAAAAAAACCATAGCTCCGCACTCTGCGGAGCAATTGCTCCAAAGAGTTTGGAGCAAATTGCTCCAAGCTCTTTGGAGTGTTTTGCTTTTGGTTTTTTTTTTACCCCTCCATTTTCTATTTTTCAATTTTAATAATTATTAAAAAAACACGATACAACAACATT